GCTGATAGGGGCTGAGCGCCATGAAGACCCAGGCGTCGCAAAAAATCGCGACGGCCAGCTGTTCACTGCATTCGGCCTCTGGGGGCAGCTTCCTGGCTCCAGGCACCGTCCACAGGAAAAACACGTGAGGTCGAGATCCCCAGGGGGTCCACGCCGCGAAAACCAAAGAGCGCCGTCGGAGGAGAGGGCGCCGCTGCTCACCTGGAAGCTGACCCGGCTGCCTCCGCTGCCGAACGTGAACATGTACCGCCCCAGGCCGCCAGTGTGGATCTCTGGGTCGTGCCTGATGCGCCCTGGCACGTGCGCGCCGCTGCCTGGAGGCGCGTCGTCAAGGCCGACGGCGTCTGCACCGTGGCTGCCTTCGCCACCCTTGTGCTCCAGCCTCGGCACCAGGTCCATCAGGGCTTCGTCGTCGCTGCTGGACGGCACCTCGCATGGAGCCGCGCCCTCAGCGCCCTGCCGAGCCGCCGCGGCCTCGCCTGGGCTGCCGTCGCTGAAGGGCCTGATGGGCAGCGGACCCGCGAGCTCCGCGCCCCCAGCGCCCTGCCGAGCCGCCGCGGCCTCGCCTGGGCTGCCGTCGCTGAGGAGCCTGATGGGCAGCGGACCCGCGAGCGCCGCGCCCCCAGCGCCCTGTCGAGCCGCCGCGGCCTCGCCTGGGCTGCCGTCGCTGAGGAGCCGGACGGGCAGCGGACTCGCGAACGCCGCGCCCCCAGCGCCCTGCCGAGCCGCCGCGGCCTCGCCCGGGCTGCCGTCGCTGAGGAGCCGGACGGGCAGCGGACCCGCGAGCGCCGCGCCCCCAGCGCCCTGCCGAGCCGCCGCGGCCTCGCCCGGGCTGCCGTCGCTGAGGAGCCTGATGGGCAGCGGACTCGTGAGCGCCACGCTCTCAGCGCCCTGCCGAGCCGCCGCGGCCTCGCCCGGGCTGCCGTCGCTGAAGAGCTGGACGGGCAGCGGACCCGCGAGCGCCGCGCTCCCAGCGCCCTGCCGAGCCGCCGCGGCCTCGCCTGGGCTGCCGTCGCTGAGAAGCCGGACGGGCAGCGGACCCGCGAGCGCCGCGCCCCCAGCGCCCTGCCGAGCCGCCGCGGCCTCGCCCGGGCTGCCGTCGCTAAGGAGAGCGACGGGCAGCGGACCCGCGAGCTCCGCGCCCCCAGCGCCCTGCCGAGCCGCCGCGGCCTCGCCCGGGCTGCCGTCACTGAGGAGCCTGACGGGCAGCGGACTCGCGAGCGCCGCGCCCCCAGCGCCCTGTCGAGCCGCCGCGGCCTCGCCTGGGCTGCCGTCGCTGAGGAGGGCGACGGGCAGCGGACCCGCGAGCGCCGCGCCCTCAGCGCCCTGCCGAGCCGCCGCCGCAGGGCCCTGGCTCTCCACCACGTCAATCACGAGCGGCGTCGGCGAGGCGGGGTTCTGCACTCCGCACCCCTGCCTGGGCCTGGGCACCACATTCTGATCTTGAGCATCAAGCGCAAGCCCCTTGCTGAGAACGGCTCGGCACGCGGGGTCGGACAATTGCGCATCCTGCGCATCCGCTTCCACCAATTCCTGCGAAACTACGCTGACCATGCCAACAGCGCAGCGTAGGGGCTCGAGAGGACGTTGAGGAGAGACTAGGGCAGAGGTGGAAGGGCGGAGGCTGGGATTGATCTTGAGCAAGCTTGAAACCAACTGGCTGCAGACCCCAAGGCCCTCCTCGTCCTCCTCTTCTCATCCTCCCGCGTCTCCTCCCTATCCTCCTTCTCAGCCTCATCCTCTTCCGTCCCCTCCTTTCCTTATAGGTAGCCCCTCCTCGTTGCGACACCAGACGTGTCGGTACGGCTGGGTCGGCGATTCGCCAGGGGCCCCCAGACAACCTGTGATCCTGATGTTTGCAACTACGGATGGTGGCACATGTTCGAAAGATGGTTCTCACCTCAGCGCCGCACATGATCGCCTTAAAGCTCACAGCCGCTGCGGGGACGCCAGGCGCTTCCAGCTCCAACTGGGGCTCTCGCCTTAGAGCCGCGACCGGTCGTCTTACGACGGCTACACGGGTGGAGGGCGGCGCCCTTTCAAAGTGAGGCCATCGCCCCGGCGCCGCGCACGCCCGCCTACAAAGAAAGTACAGTTGCTATCCTCCCTCTCCTCCTCCTCCTCCTCCTCCTCCTCCTCCTCCTCCTCCTCCTCCTCCTCCTCCTCCTCCTTCTCCTCCTCCTCCTCCTCCTGCCTGCTCCTCCTCCTCCTCCTCCTCCTCCTCCTTCCTCCTCCTCCTCCTCCTCCTCCTCCTGCTCCTCCTCCTGCTCCTGCTCGTCCGCCTCCTCCTCCTCCTCCTCCTCTCTCCTCCTCCTCCTCCTCCTGCTCCTCCTCCTGCTCCTGCTCCTCCTCTCCTCCTCCTCCTCCTCCTCCTCCTCCTCCTGCTCCTCTCCTCCTCCTCCTCATCCTCCTCCTGCTCCTCCTCCTCCTCCTCCTCCTCCTCCTCCTCCTCCTCCTCCTCCTCCTCCTCCTCCTGTGCAGGGTGGGCGGGACAGCCCCCCCCCCCGGAGGAGAGAACGAGCAGCCTGCCGACGCAAAGGTGTGCAGCTGCACGGGTTGGAGGGCGGCTGCTGTTCAGAGTGAGGCTCTCGCATAGTATGGCCACGCACCTTCCTTGCTAATGTCCACGACCGACAAAAGGATGCAAGGCGTTTCTGGTTGTTTACAACCCAAAACACACACACAACACACAACAACACACACACACACAACAACAACAACAACAACAACAACAACAACAACAACAACAACAACAACAACAACAACAACAACAACAACAACAACAACAACAACAACAACAACAACAACAACAACAACAACAACAACTACTACAACTACAACTACAACAACAACAACAACAACAACAACAACAACAACAACAACAACAATATCATCAACAACAACAAGAACCACAACCACAACCACAACCACAACCACAACCACAACCACAACCACAACCACAACAACAACAGCAGCAACAACAACAACAACAAACAATACAAAACAAAAAATAAAAATAAAAATAAAATAAAAAATAAAAGCATATATACAACAGAAAAACTCCTACTTCAGCGCAGCGGCCATACTTTGTACTGCAAATACACGGATGGAGGACGGTACCTTGTCAAACTCAGTCGTTCTCCATAGCGCTTCGCACATATCGTCTTAAGAGCGCGCGACAGCTACAAGAATCGAGGACGGTTTCAAGACAGAGCGGGGCTCTCGCTGGAGATCCCCTGAAACGAACTACCCGAAGCTTGAAAAGATGTACAGCTGCACGGATAAAATGCAGTTCTGTCCAAAATTGGGTTATCGCATGACTGCTACGCACATTCGTCTTGAAGGTGCGCAACAGACACAAGGCAACAATGCGTTTTCTGATCAGAATGGGGCTCTCTTGCCTTAGCGCCGCGACCATTCGTCTTACCACAGCTACACGGATGGAGGGCTGTACCTTGTTTAAGTTAGGTGTTCGTCATAACGCTACGCACACTGTTCTCAAATATCTGCGAAGGCTACAGGGACAGAGGACTGCTCCTTTTCAGAGTGGGGCCCTCGCAAGGGATTTCCTCAAACCAGTGATCAGAAGCTTGAACATGTGTAACAACTGTGCAGATGGAAAGCGGTTCATTTCAAAATGAAGTTCTCGCTTGAAACTCGCTCGAATTTCAAGACTCAAGATGTAAACTGGGGAACGGTTCCTTGTCAAAACGGGGTTATTGCTGGACACCTTGCTTGGCATAGTGGTCATACCTTCTCGTAGTCTTTCAGCTCGGTAGAAGGATGCAAGGCAGTTTTTTTCAAAACGGGGCTCTCGCCTGAATGACAAGGCTGATTGTGGTGAAAGGGCTGCTTGTGGTGAAAGGGCGTGTGAGGCCTTCTAAGGACGGGACTTGGGACGGGAGTGTGTATTGAAGCATTGTTGATGCATCATGCGTTTGCCACGACTCCTTTTTCAACATATCTCATATCCCCACACTGCCGCCCAGCCGCCCGATTGTGTTTCCAACTGGGGGATCAATCCTACCCATCTCAAGCGATACCATCTCGTCGTGTTCGGTCCAACATGGACGTTCTGTCCTCGATATTGCAAGATGCGCGACGGGAATGGGACGCGCACGCATCGCGCGAAAACGCGAAATGTCGTTTTCGCCTCTGCGACGCGCTCAGTGTTCCTCACCTCTGCAACGCGCCTTGAGCTCCCGCTTGGACGCGGCGCGCTTTATTCACTCGCCACCTAACCGACAGCGGGGTCGCGCGCGAGGCACGAGACCGCTTTGCCGGAAAGTCGTTTCGGCCCGGGCCGCGTCGCCCCGAACCGCTTAGCCGGGGACCGCTTCGCCCCGAACTGTTTCGTTGGGTGATAGTTTGTTTTGCATTGTTTTGGCAATCGGCGCTGGCCCTCGCACCCCCTCCCTCGTGGAGTAGATTTTGGCTGCTTTACGCGCCTGTGTTGAGCAGGTGGTGCCTCTCCCATAGGGCGCACGGTCCCAAACAGTCGCACTAAGCAGAGGTCTGGAGCCAGACCCCCCACCTCCCCCCACCTTCCGCCCAATGTCGAAACGCCGAAAAAAACGCACCTCGTCACCCGAAAACCGCTTCGCTGGCGGACCGCTGAGCGGTCCTAAGCGCTTCACTGGCGTGCCTGCAGCAGTCGGACCCTTGGGGGCAGGTCAGGCGGGCGCACCCTGACGGGCGGGTCGGGCGGGCGGTACATTAAAGAGGGCTCGCACTTCAGGGCCGTTTTTTCACCGTTTCCGAAAAAGTGTCCCTTGAAAATGGAAACGGCAAAAAAAACGGCGACCAAAAACAGCAACAAAAACGGCTCCAGGATTGGAACAGGAGCGGGAACCCGTAAAAGAACGGCGACGGAACCCGTAAAAAAACTGCGTCGGAACGTGCAAAAAAACGGCAAAACGGAACCGGTAAAAAAAACGGCCCTGTCGTTTCCAGGGCCCACTAAGGGGGCTGGCAGGCTTGCAAGTAGACGAGCGAGCGGAGAGGCTGTGATGAGCGGCGGCAGCGGCGACAACGACCACGACAGGCGAAGCGGGTCCGCGGGCTCAGCGGTGCCCAGGCGAGGCGGCCCCGGGCGAAGCGGTCCACAGGGCGAAGCGGTCCACAGGGCGAGGCGGTCCACAGGCGAAGCGGTCCACAGGCGAAGCGGCGAAGTGTCGCTCGCGCGAAGCGGTCCACAGGGCGAAGCGGTCCACAGGGCGAAGCGGTCCACAGGGCGGAGCGGTCCACAGGGCGAAGCGGTCCACAGGGCGAAGCGGTCCACAGGGCGAAGGGTCGCTTCCGCCGCGGCGCTGGGCAGATTTCGCCCGAAGGTAGCGTTCCCGCGTGGGCGCGGCGCACATTCGTTCGCTCGCCAGGTCGTGTGGGGGCGGGGCCGCGCTCGTCCCAGTCGGCAAGTCGTCGGACATGGAATCGCACGCGAGGGCGTTCCGTTCGGTAGGGGCACCCGCGCCAATCCCGATACCATGATGCGACATCATTCGCTCTGATGTTGTGGGAGGGTGGGTGGAAATGCGCGGGGCCCGCGGACTCGTTCAATCCAGCTAGCTTGAATCCAGTGCGCTGCATCCTCCTCCTCCTCCTCCTCCTCACCTCCTCCTCCTCCTCCTCCTCATCCTGCTCCTCCTCCTCCTCCTCCTCATCCTCATCATCATCATCATCATCATCATCCTCATCATCATCATCATCATCATCATCATCATCATCATCCTCATCCTCCTCTCATCCTCATCATCATCATCATCATCATCATCATCATCATCATCATCATCATCATCATCATCATCATCATCATCATCATCATCATCATCATCATCATCATCATCATCATCATCATCATCATCATCATCATCATCATCATCATCATCCTCTTCCTCTTCCTCTTCCTCTTCCTCTTTCCTCCTCCTCCTCCTCCTGCTCCTCCTCCTCCTCCGCTTCTCCTCCTCATCCTCCTCCTCCATCCCTGCCCCTTCAAAATAACTCCTCCCCGTGGCATCCCCAGACGTATCGGTAGGGCGGGCTGGGCGGTTCGCCTGCGACTTCCTGGCCATCTATGATCCTGAAGCGTGCACTGTGCAATAGCTTCACGGATGGGGGGTGGGCCATTTTCAGGATGTGGCTCTCGCCTCCGCGCCGCGCACGTTCGTCCCAAGAGTTTGCATCACTTTCCCCGGTGGAGGGCGGGCCGTTGTCACCATGTGGCTCTCGCCCTAGCGCCGCGCACATTCGTCTCAAAAGCTCGCAACCGGTTCAAGGATGGAGGGCAGGCCCCTTTTCAAAATCTGGCGCTCGACACAGCGCCGCTCACATTCGTAAGTTTGCAGCATTATCACGGGTGAAGGGCGGCTCGTTTTCACAAATGTGGCTCTCGCCTCAGCGCCGCGCACATTCGTCTTCAAAGTCTGCGACATGTTGAGGGCGGCACCTTTTCAACATACGGCTCTGGCCTTAGCGCCGCGCACATTCGCCTTCAAAGTTTGTAACGGCTTCAAGGGTTCGTATGGTTGAAGGCCCAGGGACGGTGCTCGGGCACGACTTAGGGCCGTCAGGGCGCAACAGTCGTGTTGATTCGCGGGTTTGACGTCCCAGGAACGGTGCCCTTGCACGACTTTCGACTGCCGGGACGCAACAGCCACGTTGATCCGCAGCGTTGCGGAACCGGGATTGGTGTTTTGGCACGGTTGTCTTCTAATTGGCCACTTCCCGCAATGAAAATACATTCGTGTAGGGACCTGTGAAAAGTGATCTTGGAGATAAGGTTTATTGCAACATCACTGGTGCGTCTTTGTTTACGCTGGTCCTCCTCCTCCTCCTTCCCCTCCTCCTCCTCCTCCTCCTCCTCCTCCTCCTCCTCCTCCTCCTCCTTCTCCTCCTCCTCCTCCTCCTCCTACGCATCCTCATCCTCATTATCCTCCTCCTCCTCCTCCTCCTCCTCGTCCACATCATCATCATCATCATCATCATCATCATCATCATCATCATCATCATCATCATCATCATCATCATCATCATCATCATCATCATCATCATCATCATCATCATCATCTCATCATCATCATCATCTCATCATCATCATCATCATCATCCTCATCCTCATCCTCATCGTCATCCTCATCCTCATCCTCATCCTCATCCTCATCCTCATCCTCATCATCATCATCATCATCATCATCATCATCATCATCATCATCATCATCAGCATCATCATCATCATATTCATCATCATCATCATCATGATCATCATCAGCATCATCATCATAATCAGCATCATCATCACCATCATATCATCATCACCTCATCATCATCAGCATCATCATCACGCACGATCATCATCATCATCATCATCAGCATCATCATCATCATCATCATCATCGTCAGCATCAACATCATCGTGATCGTCATCTGCATCATCATCAGCATCAGCAGCATCATCATCATCAGTATCATCATCGTCATCATCATCATCATCACTATCATCATCATCATCATCATCATCATCATCATCATCATCATCATCATCATCATCATCATCATCATCATAATCATCACCATCCTCATCATCATCAGCAGCATCATCCCCGCCCCAATCCTCCTTTTCCTCGTCCATCCTCCTCCTCCTCCTTCTCCTCCCCCTCCTCCTCCTCCTCCTCCTCCTCCTCCTCCGCCGCCGCCTCCGCCTCCGCCTCCGCCTCCTCCTCCTCCTCCTCCTCCTCCTCCTCCTCCCTGTTATCATCCTCCTCCTCCTCATCTTCCTCCTCGCCTCTTCTCATCCGCCCCCACGCCTCAAACATGTACGCGATCGAGCGCGGGATCAGGCCACGGTCCTGGGGGAACAAAAAGAAACCATTTTCGATACTCACAAGACCTCGCATAGGGTGCTCTGTGGCCTGGAGGCGAACCCAGCCGTGGCGACGAGAGCTCTCCAGGACGAGCAGCGGTATCGGTACGGCTGATTCGTGTCGTGACGACGTCGGCGTTGGCTTCTGGCGCCGCGTGGATCGTTAAGCCTTGAACAGTCGCGGCTTTCCGACAGCACGGATCGCACAATATCGGCCGACTCTGAGACACTGACGGCAAGTAACTCTGAACGCCCACGCAGGAGTCGCTGCCGCATCGACACAGCACGAACCTGCAGTCACACCGCACAATGAGGATGCTTGGGAAGGATGCAAGGGCCTTGGAGGGCCATGCCAACGTTCTTCGGACGGGGCTGGCCAGCGAAAGTCGCCAAAGATGGGCCGACGAGGCAAGGATGCAAGGGTAGCCTCGGGAAGCTGCTCGAACTTACCGTGAGGGTTGACTGTGCTGTACTGGTATCTTTCCACACCTGAAGTCCGCATAGCGCTCGGCTCCGCCAGTGATGGTGAACGTCTTTCCACTGCCTGAGGGCCCCGGCGGTCAACGGAGGGAAAAAATGGAGGAGGGAAAGGACAACGGGGGGGACGAGGAGGAGGAGGAGAAGGAGGAGGAGGAGGAGGAGGAGGAGGAGGAGGCGGGGAGGAGGAGGAGGAGGAGGAGGAGGAGGAGGAGGAGAAGGAGAAGGAGGAGGAGGAGGAGGAGGAAGAGGAGGAGGAGGAGGGAGGGAGGAGGGTAGGAGGGTGGAGGAGAGAGGGAGGAGGGTAATTAGGAGGGAAGAAGTGAACGTCTTGCCGCTCCCTGGCGCCCGGTCGGCCCGGCGAGGATGGGCACTGGCGGTCGGCGGTCACGGGAGGGGCGCGCGCGGCGGGGGGCAGTGCGCGGCACAGAGGGGGTGAGAGAGGAGGACGTAGCGAGGAGGAGGAAGCGACGAGGACGGAGGGAGGAGAGAGGATGAGAAGGGAAGGGGAGAGGGAGGAGGGAGGACAAGGAGGGAGGAGGAGGAGGAGGAGGAGGAGGAGGAGAAGGAGAAGGAGGAGGAGGCACAACCTTAAGCTGTTCAGGGGGGCGACTCCATGGAACATGTTCAGGAAACGGGGGGAAGCGACCCCACTCAAGGGGCTCGGGGCAGGGGCTCGAAGGTGTCACACCTGGCCTGCTGCCGCCGACGCTGCTGCAGCTTTGGCCGCGCGCGCGGCCTGGCCCAGCAAGACGGCCTCCTCCCGCGAAAACCCGAACAGCTGCTCGCAAATGCAATGGAATTGCGCTGCCGAGGCCACCATTCCTGATGAATTTCAACCGCTCCCAACCGGCCAGCCTGCAAACAGCCCAAATCGACTACCAACCATCCGGTTGAACAACAGGCCGATGAGTCGAGTTGCCAGCCAGCCGACTGACGAGAAAACCAACTAACCTGCTGTCCGAACGTGGCCACGCATGCAATCTGAGGGGGGTCCGGCGGCAGAGGGCGAAGCCCTTCACATATACGGAAGCATCAACAAGAACAAGAACAACAACAACAACAACAACAACAACAACAACATCATCATCATCATCATCAGCAGCAGCAGCAGCATCAGCATCATCATCAGCAGCATCATCATCATCATCATCAGCATCATCATCATCATCATCATCCTCATCCTCATCCTCATCACATCATCAGCAGCAGCATCAGCATCATCATCATCATCCTCAGCATCAGCATCAGCATCATCATCATCATCCTCATCCTCATCCTCATCCTCATCACATCATCATCAGCAGCATCAGCATCATCATCATCCTCATCATCAGCATCAGCATCAGCATCATAATCATCAGCATCGTCATCAAAATAAGCAACATAATCGTCATGATCATCGACACCAGCATCATAATCATCATCAGCATCATCAGCATAAACAACAACATCATCAGCAGTATCATCATCATAATCAGTATAATCATCAGCATCATCATCGTCATCATCAGCAGCATCATCGTCATCATCATCAGCATCATTATCATCATCATAATCGTCATCTTCAGCAGCATCATCAGCATCATCATCAGCAGCATCATCCTCATCATCATCATCATCAGCAGCAGCGTCATCGTCATTTTCATAGTCATCAGCAGCAGCAACATCACGATCATCATCAGCAGCAGCAGCACCATCATCATCAGCAGCATCAGCATCATCATTATCATCAGCAGCATCATCAGCAGCATCATCATGATCATCGTCGTCATCATCGTCATCGTCACCGTCATCACGAGCATCGTCGTCCTCTTCGTCATCAGCAGCATCATCAGCATCATCAGCGGCATCATCAACCTCATCATCAGCAGCAGCGTCACCGTCCTCATCCTCTTCATAATCAAGATCTATCACCCTCCCCATCCTCATCCCGGATACCCTCTCTCCCTCCTCCTCCCTCCCACCCCATCCCCCCGTCGCGCGGGGAGCGGGGAGAGCGAGAGCGAGCGCGCGCGAGGAAGCGCGCCGCTCCGGCGGAAGCCCCGCCCGCTGGCGGGTGGCGCGACGGCGCCCCCGCGGCCCCACGCGCAGTGGGACGGCACGTGGCCGAGCCAGCGCTTCCGGACACCGCCGCGCCGTCGTCGGCGTCGTGGCCCAAGGCTAAGACGAAACCAAAGCGAGGACAGAATCGGGTGAGGATGAATCGGGAATCTCTGAGATCCGGCGGCTCGGGAGGATGCCTCGGGGGCCGCGACTTTCTCAGAGCGTTCCGAAACGATCTGAGGGCGTTCTGGAACGCTCTGGAGCGGATATATATATATATATATATATATATATATATATATACACATATACATATACATATATATATATATATACTCGCCCCAGCCCCGCCCGACCCAAGGGATCGGGAGAGGAGGACTCGGGCGGGTAGGAACACACGCGGCAGCTGGAGACACACGGCGGGTTCCGGAGACACTGGACTGGTAAGCCTTGCCACCTCTTGCGAGGCCGATCGTTACTCCCGCCGGCTTCCGCCGGCCTTCCGCCAGCTTCCGCCGGCGGAGGCTGCCTCCCTCTACTTCCTCCACCGACTTCCGCCGAGGAAAGGGTGCCAACTCCTTCGATCCTCGAAGGCGGGGCCGTTGTTGGAACGCCTCACCTGCGGCGGGCTCCGCATGCAGGAGCACAGAGCGGGGGGGGAAGAGGAGAGCGCAGCAGAACTGTGGTGCTGGGCTCCACCCAGTCAAAGCCTCCAGCCGGTGGTCACGCTGGAACGGCGGTTGCTGCAGGAGGAGGACCACGCCGAGGATGACAGGATCGCTCGGGAGAGAGACCACGGGGCACCACACAGAAGGGGCTCAGGGAGAAGCACGAAGAGAGGGAGAGGGCACGCAGAAGAAAAAGAAAGGAGGACCCCCCCTCCTCCACGTCCTCCTCCTCCTTCTCTTCTTCGTTTCCCCATAATTACAATTAACAATATTACTATTACTCTTCGCCTTATCCTTATTATTGATAGTATTATTAATATTGTACTTTTCTTCTTATCATTATTGTTCGAATGATTGTTCATATTATTATTAGTATTCGTAATATTCCAAGTAGTATGATTGACATTATTGTTCTTATTCATAACATTCGCATTATGATTCGTCTTTCCCCAATCAGTGCTTGCACTGAAGGGGTCCTAGCGGAAGTTGAAAAATTTGGCGAAAATTTCCCGCCGATGTTGGTAGCAGGCTGAGTTCCCGGGTTCCCAGTCTAGCGGAAACTGAAAAAAATGGCGAAAGTTTCCTGCCGATTTTGGTAGCAGGCTGGGTTCCCAGGTTCCTGGCCCAGCGGAAGTCGAAAGATTTGGCGAAAATTTCCCGCCGATGTTGGTAGCAGGCTGGGTTCCCGGGTTCCCGGTCCAGGTTCCTGGGTTCCCAGTTATTGGTTCCGAGCCAATTTCGGTGGGTTCTGGGTTCCAGGGCTTCTGGGTTCCCAGTCAATCTCCTCAGTGAAAACCATCCACTGATTGGGGTTGGGTTCCTGGGTTCCCGGTTCCAGGTTCCTGGGTTCCTGGATATTGGTTCGGGGCCGATTCCGGTGGGTTCTGGGTTCCCGGGCTCCTGGGTTCCCGGTAAATCTTCTCCTCTGGTGTAATATTAATAGTATTATCATTATGATTCGTATGGTTAGTCTTATGATGAGTACCATTGTTGTTCGCATTCTTGGTATTAATAGTATTCATGTTCATCTTATGTGTATCACGATTATTATTCTTCGTAGTAACTATATTACTATCACTAGTCGCATGAATAATAATAATAATACTAATATTAATAATAATAATAATAATAATAATAATAATGATAATAATAATAAAACTGATATTCTTTGTTACTATAAACCCTAGTATCATTATTAGTAAGATTAGCCGTATTACTCTTAGAATTGTTGGTGCTCCTGTTCTTAGTACTATCAGCTATATGATTGATATTCGTAGTATTCTTCTTACTAGTACTATTCGTCTATTCATTCTTATATTCTTACTAATAATACGATTCGTCTTTTCTGTTCTTCTTATTGATATTATTGTTCTTCTTACTGCGATTCTGATATTAGTATTAATCCTCCTCCGCCTCATCCTCCTCCTCCTCCTCTTCCTTCCCCCCTTCACTATGAGAATCGTCACCATGAACAGAACCATCCTTATCCGTTCCCTGCTCCTCCTCTTGCTCCTACCCTGTTGATGCTATTCCTACTCCTCCTACTCCTCCTCTCCATCCTCCTCCTCCTCCTGCTCACTCCTCATCCTTGTCCTAGCATCCTCCTCCTATTCCTCGGCAGTTCCCTCCTCTTCCAGCGCCTCCTCATAAGTATCCTCCTAATGTTCCTCCGCCAATTTCCCTCCCTCCCACCCTTATTCCCCTCCTCCTCCTCCTCCTCCTCCTCTTCTTTCTCCTCCTCCCCCTCGTCCTATCATTATTCTGACCTATCCCTCATCATCATCATGATCATCATCATCATCATCATCATCATCATCAGCATCATCATCAGCATCATCAGCATCATCATCCTCCACCTGCCTCTTCCTACTCTTCCCCCTCAACATCGTAATCCTGATCCTATTTCTCCTACTGGTCATCCTCGTTCTGACACTATGGGCCATGGTTGCAACACATGCGATACGCAGTCGGACGGCCTGTCTGACCATACGCGAAGATCGTCCCGTTCACGCCACCGAGCACGTCCTGTGGCGCCACTCGGCGGCACCGAGCAGAAGAAAGAAAAAGCGGTCGTTGCAAGTCCTCCACCTCCTCGTCGTCCTCCCCACCACTACCACCACCACCACCACCAACAACAACAACAAACTACAGTCGGGGCCTTGACCTAAGGAACCCAAAATAAGGAACGAGGCCCCTTTTTCCCATAAGTTCAACCTCGATTTCGCATCGAAAACAAAAGGAAAACGTGGGGCAAGCTGTGAATCACTTAGGGAATGCGGAGCCCCTCCCCAACGAAAAGGGTTCCTTCTTCAGGGCCCCGACTGTAATCCTCCTATCCGTAACATCGCCAACATCACCACAGCCATCATCAACGCCAGCAGCACCAGCAACAGCATCACCTTTCTCCTCCCCATTTTCATCACCCTCGACATCCTCCTGCTCCTCCTGTCCTCCCCAGCCCCGAATGTAATCCTCCGATCCGTAACATCGTCATCATCACCACAGCCATCATCAACACCAGCAGCACCAGCAACAGCATCACCTATCTCCCCCCCATGTTCATCACCCTCGACACCCTCCTGCTCCTCCTGCTCCTCCCCAGCAAGACCCCAGCCCCACCCCAAATCTCTTCGTCCTCCTCATCATCCTTATCCTCCTGATCCTACTTATACTTATGCCCGACCCCAGCCCCACCCCAAATCTCCTCGTCCTCCTCATTATCCTCATCCTCCTGATCCTACTTATACTCATGCACATGCTCTTCATCGTCTTTTCCCTTTCCCCCTTCCTCCGTATCCTTCTGCTCCTGCTCCCCTTTCTGCCCTTCCGTCCACCTCCCACCCACCCACACAATCCCCACCCCTCCTCATGCTAGTCCGGCTCCTGTTCGGCATTTTCAGCAGCAGCAGCAGTAGCAGCATCAGCAGCAGCACCAGCAGAATGCAATGGCCCGGTGTTGGCAATCGAAGCTCTGTCGAAACGGTGGGGTCTTCGCCATCAAGCTGACATCACCAAGGCCAAAGTAATCCTCCTCGTCGTCTGACCATGCAGCACACTCATCCTCGAAATCGGCATCATCCAAATCCTCGCCAATATCCACATAATCCTCCTCGCAACCCTAATCGCGATCATCATCCTCATAAGCATCGTCATCGTCGCCACAACCACCGCCACCACCACCACCACCACCATCATCATCATCATCATCATCATCATCATCATCACCATCATCATCATCATCAGCAGCATCAGCATCATCGCCACCACCACCACCATCATGATCATCAGCATCATCACCATCATCAAAGACACCACCACCAGCAGCAACCGCAACAGCAACGACAACAGCATCATCGTCACCACCACCACCACCATCATCATCATCATCGTCACCATCACCATCAGCATCAGCATCAGCATCAGCATCAGCATCATCATCACCACAACCATCATCATCAGAATCAGCATCAGCATCATCAATACGATCAGCCTTACCATCATCATGACAATGACCAACAACGACAACAACAGCAACCACAACAACAACAGCACCACCAACAACAAAATTATGGCCGTCGCCATCGCCAGGACTGCAATTACCTCCCCACGCTCCCGAACCCCGAGTTTTTTTACGGCTCGCCAAATCAGGAAGCATCGGCTGCGCAGGCGCCCGCCTGGGGAAGCCCCCTCACGCGAGAGCTGGGAAGAAAGCTCCAGGCCAGGAGCGGGAATGTGCCAGCTACTCGCGCGATCCGCAGGGCCCCCCTGGAGCATCAGAGGCCAGGGATCAAGATCTACTTCCTTCATATACGCGGTCCTCACACCATCACCATCATCAATGTCCTCAGTAACATCACCGTCGTCGTCGTCATCGTCGTCGTCGTCACAATAGTCATCATCATCAGCATCATCATCAGCATCATCATCATCAGCATCATCATCTAATCATCATCATCATCATCATCATCATCATCATCATCATCATCATCATCATCATCCTCATCATCATCACCACCATCAGCATCACCACCCGCTCCACCACCACCAACGCCACCATCATCATCGTCCTCATTATCATCCAGATCCTCAACATCATCAGCAGCATCAACATCAGCATCAGCCTTGTCATCATACTCGTAATCATCATCATCGCCAACGACAAATCCGCCGACCCTGTCGGCGTGTGCGAGGGGCTTCCTCGTCCGAATCGTCTTCGTTGTTCGGATTGACATCGTTGTGTTTTCGTTGTTCGGATCGTCATCGTTGACATGAAGTGAACGGCATCATTTCCTCGCCGCTCCCCCTTCTTCCTTCCCCCTTTTTTCTTCTTGGGCCGTACCCTCCTGCCGTCATGCCGTTGTAGATTCGAAGGGAAGCCCCTTCCCTTTGATCCCTTCCCCAGGGGGGGGGGGTCCGAGGGGGCCAGGGGAGGGTCCCGGGGGGGGTCCCGGGGCGGGGGTGGGGGGTGGGGTGGGGGGGCAGAATTGTTTTTCCTCGGGCGGCCTCGAAACCTCGAAAACACTCCAAATGAGGTCCGAATGCCCAAGATGGCCCCCGAGACGGCCCAAGAGTGCCCCGAGTCGCCCAAAGATCGGCCGAAGACGCCCAAGATAGCCCCAAGACCGTCCAAGAAGCCTCCAAGACGTCCCAGGCCCCCTCCAAGAGCACCCCCAAGAAGGGCCCAAGAGGCCACACTCATTACTTTTCCATCACGGCGTCACAGATAGTAGCACCCTTTCCGGAAAAATGGCCCGCCCTCTCCCTCCCATTTCTGTCGAGGGCCGAGGCCTCCAGGGTCGGCGGCACCGGCCTCTTCTTGGCGGGATTGCTTGCCGCCTCCTTCATGCGAGCAGGCGTGCACCAGAGGCACTTTCCGTCGAGCGCTCGAGCACGCTGTCCAGGATGCTCTCGGGAGAACAAGCAGACGCCCTCGTCCTCCTTGCTTCTGAGCCTGCGGCCCTTAGCAATATTTTAAAAACTGTTCGCGCTTATCTGCTCGTGTGCCCCTCATCATGTGCATCCCAAACCCTCGGTATCCACCCTCTTCCTCCTCGATCGCACCCCCCTTGGGGGTATATCTTCCACATTCGCCATGTATAGTTGGCGCAGCCTTGGAATAGGCAGGAAAGGTCTGAACCGAACTGGTAACCGTGAACCGGCGCCCCCTCCAACCGAACCACCCCAACTGGAGCCCAAACCGGACCGGCTGAAACTGAACCGGCCGATTCGAACCGAACTGCAAATCGAAACCTGCCCGAAAGTCGAACCCGAACCGGCGGAACCGAACCGGCCCCAACGGGCCTGGACCCTGACGCCGCCCGACGAAGCCGCGCGAAACGGCCAAAAATAGGTCCGAGAAAACCGCAAACTCCTGGACCCCGGACCAGGAGGGGTCCGGACAAGTCCGGGGGGGTCCCGGACCAACTCCCAGACCCCTCCGGTCCTGGACCCAGCCCGGTCCCGGACCCCCCTGGTCCCAGACCCCCCCCCTTGTCCCGGACCCCCCCGGTCCCAGACCCCCCCAACTCCCCCGGTCCCGAACCCCCCCAGTCCCGAACCCCTCCATACTCCTGGACCCCGCCAGTCCCGGACCCCCCCGGTCCCGGACCCTCCCCGGTCCTGGACCCTCCTGGTCTCGGACTGGGCCCGGTCCCGGACCCCTGGTCCGGGACCCTCCCCCCCGGTCCCGGACCCCCCCTGGTGTCAGACTCCCCCCCCGGACCCCCCCGTCCCGGACCCCCCCGGACCCCCTCTCACTCCTCTCCTCTCCTCCTCCTCCTCCTCCCTCCCTCCTCCTCCTCCCTCCTCCCCTCCTCCTCCTCCTCCTCCTCCTCCCTCCTCCTCCTCCCTCCCTCCTCCTCCTCCTCCTCCTCCCTCCCCCCTCCTCCTCCTCCTCCTCCTCCTCCTCCTCCTCCTCCTCCTCCCCCTCCTCCCCCTCCGCACCAGAACCGGACCGCCTGAAACCGAACCCGTCCCGAGGCAAAACCAAACCGGCCCAAACCAGACCGCCGCCGGAATTGAATCGCTGCAACCGAACCGGGCCGCCGCCGAACCGACCCGAACCGGCCCGAACCCGACCCTTGATGAATAGGGGCTGAAAGGGAGGAAGGAAGAGACAAGGGCCAAGGGACAGGGAGAATGATGGAGCACGAAAAAGATTTGCAGGAGAAGGGTTAGGAGCAGGAGCACAAGCGGCAGAACCAGACGAGCGGGTCGGGCGGGCGGACCCTAACGGGCAGGTCGGGCGGGCGGGCCCAGACGGCCAGGTCGAGTGGGCGGGTCGCTAAAGCGTCAACTCATCATGAAGGGAGTGTCTGGCGACAACGCGATTCCCAAGTAAATCGCTAGGACATACAAAGCGGGAGCGTGAGTTGTGAGTACTGGGGGCACGGCGCGGCAATAAATTGCGGGGACGTGCCACGCGAGAGCGCGATTCCTGGATAACGTATGGGGATGTCTTGCGCGAGAACAACAACAACCACAATAATAACAACAACAACAACAACAACAACAACAACAACAACAACAACAACAACCACCACCACCACCACCACCACCACCACCACCACAACAACAACAACAACAACAACAACAATCATGTTACCCTCTTGCGCGATGTTTTCACACGAAGCACGCAACCATCATGATAACCATCCCCATCATGGGGGACTATTGTTCTATAGCGGGGTTCGTTATTCCCATTCCCAGATCTCCCGCGCAATGAGGTTTTGCAAACACCTCCTCCGAGAAATTTCAACATATCCCGCCACGAAAACGCATGCCTGCGCCTTGCTGGGCCGATGCGAGACCGCCAGTGGAATCCCAGCCAAGGGTAAAGCACAAGGAAGTATCGAGCGACAGGATTGCCTTGTCGGGGATGGGGGCTGTCGGCGGCGAAGCAAGGACCTGGCCCTGAATAGAAAGGGAGGAAGTCTCGAGCAGGGCCGCTGTTGTTGCTGGGAGCGGCGCCAAAGCTGAAGAGAGTAGGGCGCTAGTCCAGCGTAAAACGAAACGAAGTCTCGAGC